AAAATTTGGGCGGAAAACACTTTCTGAAAGTTGTGAAAAATTTAAAAATAGCATTTTTTGCTAATTATGTCAAATCTGATCCTTAAACTTTTGATTGCTATATATATATTTTATTTTGAATATTTATTTTTTAATTTTATTTCTTAAAATTTAATTTTTATATTAACTTTGATCTTCATTTTTATAATTGTTATTTGCTTTTCTCCTATTATTTTTTTTATTGAAATTTTTTATCTATCAAATTTGATCCTTATTCTTTTGATTGTTACTTATTTTATTTGAAATACTTTATGAAATGTTAATTATTATTATTTTAATTTTTTCATCTTTATTTTAAAATTGATCTTTATTATTTTGATTATTATTTATTTTATTTGAGATAATTTATGAAATTATATATTTTTTTAATTTCATTCTTATTCAAATTTTCAATTTGTAAGATTTGTTCCTCATTATTTTAATAAACTTGAGAAAAATAAAACATTAATAAATTATTTTCCTTTTTATTTTCCATAACAGTTCATTTTCCATAACATAACCAAACACTAGAAAATGTTTTCTAATTTATTTTCCATAAAACTACCAAACATGGGAAAATAATTCACTTTTTAGGAATTCATTTTCCTCGGAATTCACTTTCTAAAAGGAAACAACTTTCCTGCAAACAAACAGAGCCATAGTGAATATAGTAGTGTTGAACAACTCAAGAAAACTCCAGCAAGAATATCACTTCTGTCTTTGATTTTAAGCTCGGAGCCACATAGGAAAGCTCTACAGAAGGTGTTGAATGAGGCATACATTCCTCAAGACATCAATTAAGAAGCCATGAAACATTTGGTAAGAAGAATCTGGGCCTCAAATTATATATACTTTACTGAAGATATATTGGGTCCCGTTGGTATCGGACACAACAAGCCACTATACATTACAGTGTGTTGTAAGGACATTCTAAATGGAAAGGTACTCATCGATAATGGTTCTACACTAAATGTCCTACTGATGCATATGTTAAAAGAAATGCCTGTTGATGAATCACATATGAAACCTAGCACCTTGATGGCAAGAGCATATGATGGTTCACCAAGATGGATAATTAGGACCCTAGAAGTGGAGTTATACATGGGGCCACAGGTGTTCTTGATAACATTACAAGTAATGGACATTCATCCATCATACAACATATTATTAGAAAGGCTATGGATTCATATAGCTGGAGTAGTAGTTTCTTCATTGCACTAGTGCTTAAAGTATATCATGAACAGAATATTGATAACTATCAAAGCTAAAGAAACATTTTCCATGATAAAAAAATATGGCCATACTCTTCATTGAAGTAGAAGATTGTAGAGATGGGAATGTTCATGCTTTTGAAATTATGAACGCAAAATGGGTTCCTAAAGGTGCAGTGCTGAGAATGCCTAGAATCCCGGAAATGGCAAAGATGGCAGCCAAATACTTTCTAAAGAATGAGGCTCCTTTTCAATGTAATCCTAAGACTAGATTTGGGCTTGGATATAAGCCCAAGAAAGACAAACACATCACCCAGATTAAAAAGGAGTCAAGAATGGCGAAGATTGAAGGAAGAGAGCCAGAAGAAGAGGAACTTGCCATCCCACCACTCTAAATATCTTTCCTAGAGGCTGCAAAAATGATTAGATCTAGCATAGTAGATCTCCACATTAGTACCCTGAAGAGCCAAGAAGAAAGATAGATAGAGGAAGCGGATCTAGAAGTGAAGGATAAAGTTCTGCCACAGCTTCCGATACATACCATTGATGAACATCCTGCTAGATTTTTTGTGTGAAGATTGGCTGAATGAGAGGTGTACCAAAATTAGAAGATGGAGCCCGCTCCTATTGTGTTTAAAAAGTAATTGTCTTATTTGATCATGTTCGAACTTGTTTTAACTTATGTTGATCTTGTCGGCAATTTAGCTTATGATACCGCAAGATTTTCTATGTTAACCAAACACTTTTGTTTTAATGAGATCATGCATTTTCTTGTGTCCAATATATGCCTACATCCTTTTATCTTCTCACGAATCACCCTTACACGAGCACACTTTGCACTTTCAGGAATCCTGAAAGTTCCATTGATGCACAAAATCATTACACTAAGAATAATTGGCCAAACTTTGATAATATGGTTGCAATAGGCGATGAAGAATGAGAGGAAAAAGATATAAAAGAATTCACTAGGTTGGTAGAAAACTCCGAGAAGTCTTGGGAACCTGTTAGTGAGAAACTAGAAGTCATCAACTTGGGAAATGAGTAAGAAAAAAAAGAACTAAAGATTGGCACCCTTGTTACAATTGAAGAAAGAGATAGACTGGTCTCTCTTTTACAGGAATATGTTGATGTTTTTGCCTGGACTTATACAGATATGCCTGGTCTAGATATTGACATAGTAGTACATAAAATTCCTTTAATAGAAGGAAGCAAACCAGTCAAGTAGAAAACCAGGCAAATGTGCCTGGACATGTTGCTCAAGGTAAAGGCTGAGATACAAAAATAGTGGGATGAAGGATTTCTAGATGTGGTCCAATATCCTTAATGGGTAGCTAATATGGTTGTGCTCCCAAAAAAGGATGGCAATCCGAGTGTGTGTGGACTATAGAGATTTGAATAAGACAAGCCCAAAAGATGATTTTCCTTTATCTCACATAGACATTCTAGTTGATATTACTGTAAGAAATGCTACGTATTCTTTTATGAATAGATTCCCTAGTTACAACCAGATAAGAATGGTGGAAGAAAACAAAGAAAACACCATCTTTGTCACACCTTAGGGAATAAAGTGATGCCATTTGGGTTAAAGAATCCTAGAGCCACATATCAAAGGGAAATGGTTACCTTATTCCATGATATGATGCACCGAGAAGTGGAGGTTCATGTGGATGACATACTTGTAAAATCCAAGAAAGAAGAAGATCATGTGCAAATATTAAGGAGATTATTTGAAAAGTTGCAAAAATACCAATTAAAACTGAATCCTGCAAAATGCTTATTGATTAGTACTTAAAAGTGCATTTTTATCAAGAATTTATATCATCATTTTGCACTTGAAGTATCAATAACTCCTTAACTAAAACATGTTTTATAATAATATATCTAATAATATAAGATACCTTTAATTTGTGATAAATGTTCATTTTAAATGCAGG